CACTCTAGAACAACTAGAACTTTGTTTCTTTGGATCAGGGAAGCACAGCTCGACACAAATGAAGACCAGCAGCTGCCCTGAAGAAGCATGCCCGTTACCTCCCTGAGGAAGTGAGGTACTGTCTTACCACTACTGCACATTCTCACACTACAATAAAACACAATCTGGAGCAGTGGTCTCCCAAACAGGGAGCAAACACCCTGGGGGTGTGCAAGGCAATCCACAGGGGTGCAGAAAGAAAATGTTAAAACTTGCGTTGATTTTTAACCCCCAAAAAAGTAATAAAGAAATCAAGCTTTACTAATATTTAATATGTCTTGGCACTGGCACCCTTGTTTCGTCAGTACATCAGGCGATCATGCCTCACAGAGACAGGACGTGAGGTATCCTTGTGGACGAGTGGGAGCTTCAAAACACGGGGGGGTTGACAGTGGCACCCCCACTCACCTGTTCACTTCCAGTGTATTGCAACATATTGCAGTTTACATGTACCCAGTTAAGTGGATCTATGGATCACGTTATCGAGTTGTAACTAAACTAACCCTCCCATAATGACAAAGTGGCTTAATAGATTCCTGAAAAAAACCCTGCGGATCAAAGGTACTGCTAGTAATACAAGCACAAATAAACAAGAAAGTTGCAGAGCCAACACTTCTGCTCCTAGTACGAGTCCTTCGTCAACCACATTGCATGGCAGTATCAGTGACAATCTAATCAGATTTGGCAAAATTGGCCAAAAAAGAATCAAAATTATGAAGATGACTATTTGAATATGATTTTACATCCACTAACACTAACAATGAACCTCAGTTTAAGCATGTATTGAGCCTTTAGGTGTTAGCTTATAATAGTAAGAAGCCATCAGGATTAACAGGGCATTTAAAAACTAACCACACCGGACATGAAGACAAATCACAGTTTTTTTCAGCTATGTTTAAAGTCAAGTGATACTCAATCCAATACTTTACAAAATTTCATAGAAAACATTGCTGAAGCTTTGAAGAAACAAGTATTAGAACAAGTTATGACATGTGGGAGGTTTCCTATACAAATGGATGAAAGTACAGGTGTTCCTAACATGTCCCAGCTTATGGTATTTTCTAGATTTTTTTTTTTAATGATTACATACATGAAGAACAACTTCTTTTGTGTCACTAAAGAAGAGAAGACATATTTTAATGATTACATACATGAAGAACAACTTTTTTTTGTGTCACTAAAGAAGAGAAGACATTCTCAACAGCAAACGGTTTCTTTAACAAAAACAATGTTTTATGGAAATACCGTGCAAGCGTAACCACTGATTGAGTGGCTGCTTTGACTGGAATAAAAAAGGGATCCCAGGGTAAGGTTACAGCAATAGTGAAATTCATTGACAGCACTCACGGGCAAGCTTGTGCAGCAAAGAAGTTGGAGCCCGAAAGGCACAAAGTGCTAAAAGATGTCATAAATGTGGTTAATTTTATATAAAGAAGACCTGTCAATACTACAATCTTTACAATACTTTGGAAAGATACGAAGAGTGACCATGAAAGTTTTTTGTACCACAGAGATTCACTGTTTCATAGCAGAGTGCTTAGGAGAGTTGTCAAACTTAAAAGATGTGCACCCATTTTTCTTTCACGGAATGACAAGCAAGTGTTCCGCATCTGCTGACCTTTTCTGTGATGATGAAAAGGGCCTGTCAGTACTATGCTAACCAGGCCAATATTTTAGAAAAATTATTTCATCTGCCTCTTCGAGGTAAAGGTGATATTTTAACAATGGTTGAGAAAATAACCGCTTTTTTTAAAGAAACTCATTGTATGGACAGAGCATTTTGAAAACAGAAGTTTGGAAATGTTTCTATCATCATGTGATTTTGTTGTGAAAAGTGGTGCAAAGGTGTCATCCATAAAAAAACTCTAATACCTGTACACTTGAATGTGGAAACAATTTTCTAATCTGTTTAAAAATCTTCCAAATAAAGAGTTTTAGTGGGTTTTCAATATATTTGTTAAAAAAAACCCACAAAAATTCAAGACTTTCCAGTTGCAAGAACAACTGATTGACATTGAGTAAGATGGAAACTTACTAGCTGAATTTTAACAAACACCTTTGCATAATTGGTGGATGGGATTAAACAATGAGCATTGTGGTTTAGTAAGCATAGCCAGTAATGCACTACTTCCATCTGGATCAAGGTATCTTTGTGAGGTACCTTTTTCAGAAATGACAGCCCCTAAAACTAAGTATCAAAATAAACTGAGCTTTGAAACAGACCTTGGAATCTCTGCAGAGCAGTGTTAAACCAGGATTTTCAAAAATAATGAAGCATATTCCACAGCATCACTTATTGAGTTAGAAATTTTCTAGTGAGAGCAAAAAGGTATTTTGTGCCACTAATAAAAATACTTTTAAGTTGTTTAATGCCACCTTTTTTCATTTACCTTTTATAATGGACTTTATTAGTACAGCAGTACATGCATAAAACTATGAATATATACAGTATGGGTGCATGCTCAAAATATTTTTTTTGCATCTAGCTCTGGGTTCCCCAGCAGAAGACAGACACGCATCTGTTAAAGGGGGTCCAGAGGAGTGCCACGAAAAACGATCCAAGGGCTGGAACACCTCTCCTATGAAGAACGGCTAAGAGAGTTGGAGTTGTACAGCTTGGAGAAGAAAAGGCTCTGGGGAGACCCCTTCAATATAAAAGGGGGCTTGTAAGAAAGACAGAGAGGGACATTTTAACAAGGCCTGTACTGATAGGCCAAGGGGCAACAGTTTTAAACTGAAAAAGGTAAGCTTAGATTGGACAGAAGTAAGAAACTTTTTTGTCTGATGAGGGTGGTGAGACACTGGAATAGGTTTCCTAAAGAAGTTATGGATGCCCCATCCCTGGAAACATTCAAGGGCAGGTTGGACAGGGCTCTGAGCAACCTGATCTAGCGAAAGATGTCCCTATTCTGCGATCTTTAAAGGCCCCTTCCAGTCTCAACCATTCTGTGATTCCAAGACTCTACTTCAAAAATTCAAGTTTGACCCATTGCTGGAATACTATTAGCAGTAATATATTTGACATCTGCTACTTTTAACACTAACACACTGTATGATCCCTTAAGCTGCATATCAAGTTTAAGACATTCTACATTGAGATTATGCAAAACCTTCTTGACTGCAGTCTGGCCTGCAACAAAAAAAAATATCCAGTGTAAAATCCCAGGCTTGAATTCCAAGCAATTAAAAGTAAAAAACACCTAAGCCTCATCAGAAAAAGCACCTTAATTCTGTAGTACTGTTGAGATCAGCAATGCTTTTTTCATTTTTGTTTGTTTGTTTATTTATAAATTAACCTCCCTCCACTCTT